TTTCCCTAGAGTGTCCTATTTGTTCATGACATCACTATATGAAAAGCACAAATTAGTGTTGATCAAAAATCAACACTAACTATTATTTTTGTGTTGATCAAACAATGTCCTAGATGTTGTTTTATAGAAAAGGTTGACATGTACAAATTGTTTGCATCAACTAGAAAAAGTCCTCTCAACCAAGCTAACTCTACATTGACAATAATTACAATTGACTATGAAGTGCCTAATCTTCAAAGTGGACAATAAAAAGCTTACTACTTTGTAAGTTGGAATTTTCTACAATATATGCTACACAAATTGGGATTTTACAAAAGGTGGGTTGGATCAGAGAATGATTAGAGTCAAGTTATGTATTAGTCCTTGTGAACAGAAGCCCCATAGGTAAATTCAAGATGTTAAAAAAACTTAGACAAGGCGATCCTCTAGCACCATCGATCATATTACTATGGTTGTTGAAGGCCTCAATGGCTTGTTAAGAACAATAAACTCAAATAAATTATTCTCAAGGTATATGGCCGAAAAGAACTAAGTGGAGGTAATCTTGTTGCAATACGTAGATGACACAATAATCTTGGGTGAGACAACCATTTGTAATGTACTAGTCATTGAAAGCATTCTAAGATGCTTTGAGTTAATATTAGGACCCAAAATTAGTTTTGTTAAAAGTAAGTTTAGGGTAATAGTGTGGATAGATATTCTCTTGAGAGATTTGCTAAGCTATTGAATTGTAGGTTGTTGGATCTTCTTCTTATTTATTTGGGTATCCCAATCTGAGCTAACCAAAGAAGTGAAAAGACTTGGAGGTCTATTCTCACTAAATTCAAGAAAAGGTTATAATCATGGAAATTAAAACATAACATATTATCTGTGGCTGGGAGATCTTCCTTGTAAATTCAATATTGTCATCTTTACCCATTTTCTATCTTTCCTTCTTCAAAATGCAAGATAGTGGAGCTTCAGTTGGTAACCATCCAAAGAAGGTTCTTGTGGGGAAGTGAAGTAGGTAAAGAGAAGATTTCCTGGGTGAGTTAGAGGAAAGTATGTTGTTCCAAAAGTAATGTAGGCTTATAAATAAAGAAGGAAATTAGTAATACATCGTCAATTTGGTATAATCTTAGTGAAATGATAGTTTGTGGGGAGGGGGAGTACTAATATCTAAATATGGAGGGTGGTATAATCTTAGTAAAATGGAAATTAGTAATACATCGTCAATTTGGTGGAGAGATTTGAAGAAGTTAGGTCTGTGGAAGGGATAACGATTAAAGTTGGTTTGAAAGAATGATGGAATGGAAGTTGGGTAAAGAAGGACAAACCATATTTTGGTTGGATAATTGGCTAGGGGAACTTAGCTTATTAGAGACCTATCAAATATTGTATTTGAATTTTGAACAACAAGATCATCTCAAAAAATATGGGGTGTTGGGTGGATGGCAATCGGCACTAGTGGAAAAACACTTTTAAAATCTATCTTTTTTACTTTTAAAATCGATTCTCTGATCGATTTTAAAAGAGACGATTTTAAAAAGTAAGACTTTTAACATCGGCTATAGATCGATGTTAAAAGATAGAGTTTTAACATTGGTCATGCCATAACCGATTTTAAAAGTTAGACTTTTAACATCGATCTTGTATAAACCGATTTTAAAAGTCTAGCTTTTAACATTGATTATAGCACAATCGATGTTAAAAGTGGTTAATTTTTTTTAAAAATAATTGACTTGTTTTAGGAGAATCCTTGAACAAAACTTGCAAATTAATAAAATACCAGACAATTCATATATTTTCAATAGACCAAATTACATACAAATGACAAGAGATGATAAATGTTAACCATATATATAATCAAAATGTTTTTAAAATACATGCATGTAATACATAAATGTGTACATAATAAGTTAAGTAACTTACAAATTGTTATGCATCCTAAACTACAAAGTGAGTAAAACTATAAACATAACTCGTAGCTAGTCAATGTTTCAATGAAAAATGTAGCACATTGCTCCCTAATGGTGTTTATATCTTCTAGCGACAATGGTGATCGATCTATAAACATCTATTAAGAAAATTTAGAACAATTAGAAGTAACTCATAAAACATATGATAAAATGCAAACTTAAAATAAAAACTTTCAAAATTCTAAAACCTACTTCAGCCCACCAAGATACTATTTGTGAATTAACAATAGTATGCATTACCTTCATTACATAGTATTCGTACTCATAGTTTCCTTTTTGCTTATGAGACTACAAAATGAATATAAAAATCAATTTTAGTAGTAATGGTAATTCAAAAGAAAATACCTTAGAAAAAATATCATTACTAAAATAAAATAACTTACTTTAAGAGAGACCCAAAGCATTTTTTTCTTCAACTTTGAACCTTTAAGTATATGGTATCCTTCCATAGCCCTAATGATAAAAGGACATCATTATTATATTTTAAAATGAAATGTAATGATCAATAAAATAAAGTAGTTTTTATAAAATAACTTACTTATCTAATAATTATTTAAAGTCCGCAAGAGGAGGTTTGTACATCGAACAAATGCATACAAATATATTGTCCATATATAGGAAAAATAATCAGAAGTTGCCAATGAGCGCTCCATTGAGAAACTATCAGTAATAGCCAATACACTTTTTAAAAATTTATAATCAATTATATACAAATAGACTTACTTAGAAAAGAAAGGAGCTAAGTAAACTTTTTTATTTGAGTCAGACATTCAATTTTGGATGTAAGCTTGGATTTCTTCTGTCTTGTTCTCAATATTTTGGATTTCTAAGTTGGTTGCAGAACGGGTCGTTCCAGTTTCGACATTTGCCCAAACCAACAACAAAATTACAGAGATGAGAAGAGAACGAGAATGTTACCTTGCTATAGTAGTGTTGCAAAGAAAATGAGACGCTTCAGACTTTAGATAACAGCACGAGAGAAAGGAATGGAGGGAAAGATCAAAGAAGGGTTGGAACACGTATAGACTTTGATAGGAATCGGGGGAAAGATGAAAATGAGAAGCTGTATAGTGACATTTTTAAAATCGGTTATTGAAGAACCGATTTTGTATGTAGTATACAAAATCAGTTCTTAAATAGCTGATTTTAAAAGTAACATTTTTAAAATCGGCTATTTAAGAACCGATTTTATATACTACATATACAAAATTAGTTCTTAAATGATCGATTTTAAAAGTAGCGAACAGACCTTTTAAAATCGATCAAAACGTAGCCGCGATTTTAAAACTTGTGTCATTATTTACAAAATTGTCACCGTGTTACTTTTAAAATCGACTATGTTTTAACTGATTTTAAAACTGATTTTTGTACTAATGCGAGCTTGGAACCTTACTTGGTGAAGAAATTGATTTAAATGGAAAAAAAAAACCAATGGGCCAATATGCATAGTCTAATAAATTCTGCAAAACTACAAAGAAATAAAATAGATTATTGGATTGGCTGGAAGGGCAGGCAAAAAAATTCTTAGTTAGTTCATCTTACACAGTTTCAAATAAATTGAGGATCGGGAGCCAAGACAGGATTGAATTCTCAGAGTTATGGAGATTAAAATTTCGTCCAAAGGCAACCACATTTATTTAGAGGGCACATGATAACGCTTTGCCAATAATTGATAATCTAGTACACAGAAAAGTAAAGCTAATTATTTCAAACCAACATTTGTGTCCCTTTTGTCACTTAGTGCCAAAATCAAGACCTCACATTCTATTTTCATGCATAGAGGTAAACTTCCTGTGGAAGACTTGTTTCTGTTGGTTTGATACCTCAGTTGCTCTACCTAAAAACTTGATTAACCACTTCAACCAAATTCCATTTGTTTTTGCTTTTATATCAGAGTTGGAAAATTGGCATGTGTTATGGAGTGCAGTTACTTGGTGCATTTGGAGCCAAAGGAAGAACTGTGTGTTTAAAGGTACAACTTTTGATAGGAAAATATTATTGCAGCAAATACTCACCACTACTTAGTGATGGCTAAAAATCAAGGGTGGAAAATTTTCAATACTTTTTTATCCAATGAACAACTAATCTTAGCGTTTCTCTATCTCTAATATGGTTTCATTGCTGAGACCATTTGTTTGAAATGCAAAGTTTGCTTGGTGTGCATGTCAACACCAATAAGTTGGATGCATGCTTTCCTATAAAGTAGCACACAACACAAGGTGTGGTTCATGTTATTGGTCCTATGAGGTGAGGTGGCATGAAAGAGATGTGTAATTATATTGATGACAGGTGCACAAAGAATGTCATGATTCTATAATTGTGGCTTTAAAGTGATAATTGGATGGAGCTTAGATGCAAAGAATTGAATATAAGGTTGGGCTTAGAGGTTACAAGGAAAAGCCAAAGTTCCATTGTAGGATTTAAAGTACAAGAGACAAAAGGATGAAAGGAAAACTGATATTTTTATTGAGCATAAAGAGTAAATATTTATACTGCAAATTAAAAATAGAAATGAAACAGATTTGAGAAATATCTGCTAAGCTAATTAACTAAACAATGCATAAAATTCTCCTAAGAAATAGCATGGGAACATGTAATTATTTAACTGATTTGACTCCTTCAAACCACATGTTGTTGGAGTCACATAATCCCAACAATCTCCTCCTTGACTCAAAGGCAGCATACAACAAGTTTTTGTCGAAGATACTCAAATCTTGCTTGAGGAAGTGATTTTATTAAAAAATCAGCAAGTTAATTTTCATTTTTGCAATACAACAGCTGCACGTCACCTTGCTTTTGCACCTCCCTTAGGAAATCCAACTTTATCTTAAAATGTTTTTTTTCCCATGAAACATAGGGTTCTTTGAAATTGAAATTGCAGCTTGATTATCAACAAGAACCTATGTACTTTCCTTTTGCTCCATGTATAGATCAGCCATAAGTTTTCTTATCCAAATTGCTTGATTTGCAGCTGCAATAGCTGCTAAGTATTCGGCTTCAGCGGTAGATTATGCTATGACTTCTTGCTTCTTTGTACGCCATGAAAAAATTCCATAACCAAATGTGAAACAGTAGCCTGAAGTTCTTTTCATGTCATCATTACTCCCAGCCCAATCACTATCTGAATATCCATAAAGACTGAAATCTTTTACAGGCTGAAACTTCACTCCATAAAAAATAGTACCATTGATATATCTCAAGATTCTTTTGGCTGCCTTAAAATGAATCTTACTAGCATAGTGTATATATCTTGACAGCAAGCTTACTGCATAGGTAATGTCTGGCCTGGTTGCAGTCAAATTCATCAGACATCCTATTAAGCTTCTGTACAAATTTTCATCAACCTTTTCAGCTCCATCTTCAATGCTGAATTTCTCTTTTTGATTCATTGGCGTTGCACTTGGCTTGCATTCCTCCATTTTGAACTTTTTAAGAATTTCCTTTGCATATTTTTCTTGACTTATAAAGACTTCACCTCTATCTTGTTGCACCTGCATGCTAAGGAAATTTTTTTTTTCCAATATCAGTCATTTCAAAAGCTTCTTTCATTCCTCCTTTAAACTCTTCAATCAGCTCCTTTGAACTTCCTGTCATAAGTAAGTCATCAACATACAAGGAAACAATGATTATTCCAGCATCTGTCTTCTTGACATGCAAGGTAAACTCATTTAGACTTTTTTCGAAGCCTAAGCTTATCAAATGTGCATCAATTCTACTATACCAAGATCTTGGGGCCTACTTTAAGCCATACAAGGCCTTTTTCAGCCGATAGACTTTCTCCTCCTGTCCATGAACTAGAAATCCTTCAGGCTGCTCTACAAAAATTTCTTCTTCCGAGTACCCATTCAAAAAGGCTGATTTAACATCCATGTGATGTATAATCCAACCTTTTTGTGCAGCAAGAGCTAGCAACAATCTTATGGTATCCAACCTGGCAACCGGAGAAAAATTTTATGAGAAGTCTACCCCGAACATTTGCGCATATCCCTTCACGACAAGCCTCACCTTATGTTTGTTTACAGAACCATCAGCATTAAACTTGGTTCTATAAACCCATTTCACTCCAATGATATTTTTATCTTTTGGTTTCTCCGTGAGCTCCCATGTTTGATGCTTTTCAATCATATCAAGCTCCTCCTTCATTACACTTACCCACTTCGAATCAGTTGCAGCTTCATTGTAGTCTACAGGCTCCATTACAGCAACATTACATCTTTGATAAATATCAGAGAGAGATCTAGTTCCTCTAATTGGCTGGTCATCCACATCCTCTTCGCTTCCCTCCTGAACTTGAAGCAGTTTCTTCTCACTTTCCTTGCTCCATTTTTCTTCCTCAAAGAATTGCACATCTCTACTAACAATAATTTTATTACTTTGTGGCAAGAATATTTTATAGGCTTTTGATGTTGAGTTATAGCCTACAAAGATTCCTGCTTCTGCCTTTTTATCAAGTTTGTCCCTCTTAATCTGTGGAATATAAGAGAAACACAAGCAACCAAAGACTTTCAAATTTATGAATTTTGGTTTGAAATCATACCAAGCTTCAAATGGGGTTGATTTTGAAAGAGCTTTTGTTGGTAATCTGTTCAGCAAAAAAATGAAAGTGCTCGCAGCCTCTGCCCAGGATTTTTTCGGAAGATCTTTGTCATGAAGTAAACATCTCGCCATTTCAGAAACTGTTCTGTTTTTGCGCTCCACAACCCCATTTTGTTGTCGGGTATAAGGTGTTGTCAATTGATGTTTTATCCCTGCATCTTCACAAAACTTGCTAAACTTATCAGACGTATATTTTGTACCATTATCTGATCTTAATATCTGCATTTTTCTTCCACTTTGATTTTCAACCCACGCTTTAAACTTGTAAAATATGCTAGCAACCTCAGTTTTGTTTTTCATGAAATAAATCCAACACATGTTTGAAAAATCATCAATAAAAGCAATATAGTACTTACTACCATTCAGAGATGGGGTTTTATGAGGTCCTCCAACATCTGTATGTACTAACTGCAGCTTGTTTGTTGCTCTCCAAGATTTTCCTTTTGGAAAAGACAACCTAGTTTGTTTTCCATATTGACAAGCAGCGCATACGGGTGATTTCTCTTCCAATTCAGGCAGCCCTTGTACAAGATCATTCTTCCTCGAATAGAGCAAAGCACCATGATGAAAATGACCCATCCTTTTATGCCAAACCAGCGTGTTGTCTTCAACCTTATGCACAACAAGTTGCTCTTCATCAATCAAATTCAAGGCAAAGCTTTTGCCTTTCATTTGAACTCTGAATAATTCTTTATTATCTGAATCTTTAATCATGTAGGTTTTATCTTCAAATAGAACTTTATAGCCTTTCTCTAGAAGTTGGCCAACACTCAATAAGTTTTGGTCAATTTCAAGAACGTATAGAACATCAGGAATTAATTTCAGATCTGTGCAACCTTTGATCGCGATGGTTCCTTAGCCCTTCACCACTATTTTTGCTCCGTTTCCAATTCGGACTTTTGTGTTGTAGGTTGCATCAAGATCTTTGAATAATTCTTTATCATAAGTCATGTGGTTCGTGCAGCCACTATCAATTAGCCAACTTTCTGTTGATCTTGTAGTAGCAAAGCAAGAAACAACAAAAAGTTCATCTTCTTCACCCTTTTCAACAGCAGTTTGTACATTCTCTTATTTTTTTGATGACTTGCAGATTTTCTCCACATGCCCTAATTGTCCACATTTATGGCATTTCACATCTGGCCTCCACCATCACTTCGTCTGTGGATGATTATTTTTCTTACAAAAAGGACATAATGGAAAAACATGAGAGGATTTGCTATCACTTTTGTGGTTGAAACTTCCTGACATGCCCTTCTTTTTTTTGTCTAGCAATTTAGCTACCAAAGCCCCTTCAGTATTACCTTCTTGTCTCATGAGTCTTATTTGTTCCAGAGGTTGAAGTGCGGTCAAAAGTTCTGTCAAGGTAATAGTAGAAAGATCTTTTGAGTTCTCCAAGACAATCAATGTGGCTTCATAATTTTCTGGAATTGTTACAAGTATTTTTTGAACAATTCGAGAATCAGGAATCTCAGTGCCCAGAAGACGTATTTTGTTTACAATGCCGAGAAGCTTGTCCGCATAATCTTTGATTGTCTCCGAATCTTTCATCCTCTGCATCTCAAGTTCTCGAACCAGATTCAAAGCTTGCATTCCTTTGATTCTCTCACTGCCTTCATACTCTTTCTTCAAAAAATTCCAGATTTGGTGTGCCGTTTTCATCGTCATTATTCTGTTGAAAATGACTGGAGATATAGCTGTGAGCAAAATTGATTTGGCTTTGGACTTTCGAAGCTTCCTTTCTTTGTGACTTTTCATTTGGGCAACAGTAGGATTATTTGGCAAGGGAGGCACTTCATAGTCTTCTTCTACTGCTTCCCATACATTGTTAGCATCAAGATATGCTTCCATTTTGACTGCCCATATTTTCATAGTTTCGTCCATCAAATACAGGCACAGAAATGGTAGCAAAGGAGGTTTCAGATTCCATTTTATGTGTAGTGGCTATTTGGTGGTTGTAAGTGTTTGTGGGTTATATCACAGATCCCGTAAGATACCTTAATGCTCTTGATACCAATTTGTAGGATTTAAATTACAAGAGACAAAAGGATGAAAGGGAAACTGATATTTTTATTGAGCATAAACAGTAAATATTTATACTGCAAATTAAAAACAGAAATGAAACAGATTTGAGAAATATCTACTAAGCTAATTAACTAAGCAACGCATAAAATTCTCCTAAAAAATAGCATGGGAACATGTCTTTATTTAACTGATTTGACTCCTTCAACCACATGCTATTGGAGTTAAGAATCCCAACAGCCATTAAGTTTTTTTGATCATAAGAAGTTCGGACTAAAGCTTTCATTGATCATTTAGAGACAGAAAAATGTACCACATGGATTGCATTGTAAAGTGGGGGAGGGGGATGAGTTAGACATATTGTATGAGGCACGAAATTAGTACTGTGAATTAGTTAATGTTTAGTGCTAAGAGATGAGGAACTTTGGTTAGTTTATAATTTGTATTTTAACATATTCAGAGACGAGACTTTGGTTACTTTGGTTAGTCTTGTAAAAAAAGAGCTATCTATTTTTGGTTTTGAGTAACACTGGATTTGTTTTGAAGATATCTATTTTTACAAGACTTTTAGTTAGAAGATTCTAAAAGAGAACAAAATATGGATTTTGAACTACAAAAACAGTAAAAGAAAATCTTGAAGTGACCGCAGGAAGGCCTTGAACTAACTCAAACAAAAAAGGACCTGACAGTAGTGAAAATGATAAATTTGGTTTTGATATTTATGCCCACCAGTTTCATTTAGTGCTTGTTTAAATTATAAACATAGATAGCAATTGTTTTATAAGTGAAAATTATATTTTAGCTTTATTTGTTTTCGTAAGCAAATATGTTAATTAATGGTTTTTGTTACTGAATGGTCACCATTAGCAGTAGGCCAAGTTCTGAAGCTGCTGCTGCCAGTGAAAATCAGGGGCAAACAGGACAGCAACAACAAGCTCAACAGCCGCAGCCTGCACCTCAAAGACAGGTTGTTGTCAGAAGATTTCAAATTGCATTTCAAATTGATTTGTTTCTTATGTTGAAGCTGGCCGCTGTGATCTTTTTGTTTAACCAAGATGGATCAAGGGAGAGGCTTGTTGTTCTCGTGTTCTTTGCTGCTCTTGTATATTTGTAAGTATTTACTCTTTTTTTTTTTTTAAATATGTTTTCTGCTTGCTGGTGCTGCAGGTTTTAGGACTTAACCAGGAAATTCTTCTGATATAAATCCCCCACCCGCATCTTCTCTTTTCTTTATATAGCCAGGGTTTTTTTAGTTGGACTTTGCGTGCATGTGTGTCAGTATCAAGGACATGCAAATGTGCAATAACGTTAATATTGCTGAACTCAGTAGTCAGTACTGTATAGGTTGTGAATGAAAGCTGTAGTATTTACTAATTGAGATGTGTGACAGATACCAAACTGGAGCTTTGACACCGATTATAAGATGGCTTTCCCGAGGTATGCAGAGAGCAACAACACCTCCTCATCATAGGGAAAGGGGAGCATTCTGATTTATGTGGTTTAGCATTGCTCATACCAACAATTGGAATAAATTATACCTTGCTTGAATAGGCAAAAAAACCCGAAAGCAATTAGATATATAATACTACACATATATTGGGGGGAATTAGAATTAGGGGTTTTAATTGTTATCCTTTAAGTTGAAGCTATATGCGTATTCCTGTTTGGTGAGTGTTTCTCTTTTACTAGTTGGATACTTCTCTTTGGATAGATTGATATGTAGCTTGATTATTGACTCTCCTGCTTAGGAAATCTCACAGTCTTTTTTACATATACACTAGTTCTCAAAAGTATAAAAAAATGTGGATCTATGGTGGTTAATTAACTGAATGTCAGATATCAGATAGTGATAAAACAATTTATCACCCCCCATGTATTTGCACTTGTAATTGGCTTATTGTCTTCCAATCTTGAATTTTCTTGTGTTTTTGCTTTACATTTTTACTTAAAGTTTTGGGCAAAAATTAAAAAACAAAAATGTTTTGTATAATTTTTTATCAATAGATTTCAAACTTCATTGGATTTTAGATTTTTCTATATATCTGGCATTTTTGTTTTGTTTTGTGAATATTGATTTATAATTATAGCTTCAAGTACTTTATGTTTTTTCTAACCCTGTTATCATTATATTCTAATGGTGTCGAGTTTGAGGACAAATATTGTTGTTTTCTGTATGCTTGAGTTTACAAAATCTATGTTTCCTACTGCTTAGTCTTATTAATTAAATATGCTTATAATTTCTTTTCCCCTTTTCTATTTCCAAAACATGTTGCAGTGAGAAGAGAAATCAAAATTTTAAGATTGTTCATGCATCCTCACATTATACGACTTTATGAAGCTCCTGAGGTTTGAAATTCTTTGGTTTGTAATGGAATACATGATGATCATTGCTATTTATTATTGTTAAGGATATACATATATTCAGTCTCTAGTCTCTGGTGATTTGTTTTTCTTGGTTACACTTTGTCATTTTTCACAGGTTATCTCTGGAAAATTGTATGCTGGACCTGAAGTGGATGTCTGGAGCTGTGGTGTAATTTTGTATGCTCTTCTTTGTGGCACTCTTCCTTTTGATGATGAAAACATTCCAAACCTCTACAAGAAAATTAAGGTATTGTTGTTGATTTTATTTTTTTTTAATTAATTAAACCACTGGCTGATATCTACATATATACTGAAACTGTCAGGGCCTTGGACATGTGGCTAATTTTCCAGCTTAGTAATTCCTGCTTTATATTTTTATTGTTGCTTTGTGCGTTTTCTTTTTGCTTTAATTATGTGAAAAGGAATTTAATGATTCACTTATTTCATGCCTGCCAGTCCTCCCCGCCCCATGGGCCCATTGCCATCCCTAAGTGTTACATCAATAATCTATAAATTGCAATTTGGGAAAGATGTTGCATTTTGTTTTGTAATATGTAATTTGTTTCTAGATTGGTGTTTCCAAATTTGAGTAATCTATAATTTGGAGAAGGTGTGGTAAAGAGATGGAAAGGTGTGATAGAGAGATTCAAAATCGATTATTGAAAATCGATTTTTTGTATGCTGTTTTTATAAAATCCATTGTATAACTAATTTTGTAAACATAAAACAACTGATTTTGTAGTTCATTTTTGTACTAACGAATCTAGTAAGAAAGACAGTTAAATGTGAAGGAAAGTCTTGAAAAATTCATGTAAATGTTCCACATAATAACTTTGGAACCAAAGAAGATAGAGATAGATAATTTTGACAAGAGAACGTGACAAGGATTATAATTAACCAGGTGTTAAGTAGTAAGATAACTATTTTGATCACTTGTATTTGAGTTTTGGTACCCCAAGTATCTGTTAATATATTCTTTTTTACTGATAAAAAATAAATAAAAATATAAATAATTACAACTAACTAATTCCAAAACTACAAAAAAGACAAGAAAAAAAAGGCTTTTAATTTCACTTTCGGAACGAATAACTTTACTATCACTTTTTTTTTTAATCTTCTTTCTATTTCTCTTTTCTCTTCTCACTTCCACTTCCCGCAACAACCAAAATCTTCATTCCTCAATAACCTTGTCACTTTTCATTGGCCACCTTGTAACAGACAAAAGTGGAGAAAAAAAATAAAAGTGCAAATTAAACCCAAGAAATATTACAAAAAGTCATAAAATGTCATAAACATTAACACACCTCTCCATGGTGTCATTCTCTTAGTAAGCATCATAATCATCAAAAATCTCTATCGATGAAGGTTTAGGCGTCTGCTCAACTTGTTTTCTTAATTTTTAATTGAATTTATTTATTAAATTATTTTTGTGTGTTTACACATTGTTTTTAGAATAAAGTTCTTATGATCAATTTGAAACTTTCTTAAAATAAAGATTGTTGACTTCTTATAACTATATATAAAGTTGTCACCAATTTTAGAAATAAAATGGTGAAAATATTTTACAATTCATAAAATTGATCTAGGCGAGCGAAAATAGTAAGTCACAATCCTAAGAATTTTAATTTTTGAATCTCAATCCTTATATTTTTTGCTTTAATTTAATTCATGTTACCTCAAATTAAACTTTGTCTGTTCAAACTTTCAAACACTATAATTAAGTTGATAATTGTTTGAATCAACTCCTTTATGTTTGATATGTAGACTTTGTCTATTGTTACTATAAGGTACACTTCCGCTTTAAGCGTATTTCACAGGCAACAAAAGTTCCAAGCAAATATCAACTGAAAAGGATTTTGGTTGATTTGAATTTTTTTTTATTGTTATTATTTTTTATTTTAGTTGTATATTTTATTTTTTGTTGTTATCATATCCTGATCTCTTTCATTTTATACGAACCTGCTCAAAAGACTTCTTTTGCAGTGTGATTTCAAGATTAAAATAAATAAATAAATAAAATTGCATGTTAAGAAAAGAGATGCAGAAGTATTTAGGAGTATAAAAAATATAAAAATTTAAAATAAAAAAAATTTGACTTCCCAACCTTTTGAGGTCATAGGTTATTAAAGTAATTTTTAGTATCCTTAAAAAAGGGCAGCTAGGGAAATGCTTAATAACCAAAGCGTCTAAATAACACTCTTTTGAAACTTTGTGTGATCACAAGTGCAAACCATTTGAGTGGATGATCTACACATGATTAGCACCTAAGTACCTTCTTAGCAAAGAACCTAAGAAAAATAAATAAATAAAATTGAATCAACTCTCTAACCCAATGCTTCATAGATTGACTCAACAAATCTTTATCTACTAATGGTTATCATATTTGACAAGTCCTTAGACTATGTTGATTAACTGTAGATTCATATAAATTTGAAATTGAACACAACACATTCTTAATTTTTGAAAAAAAAGTATTTTACCTTGATTAATGATAATTTATCTCTATTTTGCTTGAGGGCAAGAAAAAATTAAGTGTGGAGAGATTGTTAAACCATCAAAATGTTGTATAATAACCTAATATTCATAGTTGTACTTCAAAAGAAGCACAGCCAACTGTACGACCATTTTACGAAGCATGATCATGCTTGCTAACATGCACAATTGAGTGGTCTAGGAGATTAACATAACATAGCAAATTTTCCATGCATCATGTAATGGATCATCTTGATTCAAAATTGGAATTCCTCTGTCAACTAACTTGATTTTTTTTCGATACTAGTGTTCGCTTCATGCCTTCCTCAAAAGGTAATTCGCTCCAATCAATAGAGGTGTAACAAGAATCGCTTCTAGATTTTATATAGGATAAAGGTCATAGAGCATGGAATGGTTTTGCAATTGGTCCATCCTACTTTGGAATTGAGATGTTCCACCAAAATTTGAACTCCATAATCAAATCTCAAAGATCTTCATTGAGAAAATAACACAACGATGAATCTAGTAGAAGAACATGAAGTAGTGAATCAAACTGAATAAGACGAATCAAAAAATGCAAATAGCTAAAGCAAAGCAAGACAAATACGTACTAATATTATTTGAGAGGCCGTCAAACTTATATTGATCAACCTTCCTTTACTAAGCTACAACTAGTCCAAATTTACCTAAGACAAACTCTAGATAAAACTAGACTAGAGTGTTACATAAAAAAAAATGATATATGTGACATCCCACGCATGAACAAATGATATCCATGTGGCGTAACAAATATAACTGACTTCCTCGTCAAAATCTCTCTATATAAAGGATTCTCCTTTACTAAAGTATTCATACTCTTATTAATACAAACACTTAAAAAGAAAAGTATTGACATAAGCATCAAAGTCTTTATAGGTATCATTATGGATGTTTGAGATCATCACCAATAAAGCCATAGTATCGTTGCCAAAAACCTAATTCTTCCTTGAACATCACAACAATACCGTATTAAAATTTGCAAAAATGTGTTATTGAATAATGAACAACCAAAATATTATGATTTAAAAAGCTCGCTTATATATGCTGGAACCTACACTACAACAAATTAATTGTCTTTGTTTTATTATCTAATAAAAATATTAATATATGACTAATATATAATAGTCACTAAAAATGTATTTACATTACAACAGAATTTATTATTAGTGAAAATTATTTATTGGGAAAAATTTAAGTCTCATATCGACTAGAGATAAAATAATTAAAGAGTATATAAGTGGATGATAACTGCTCTCACCTTACAAGTTTATTTTGTAGAGTTGAGTTAGACCTATAATTTACTATTCTAAGTTGGTATCAGATTAGTTATCATTACCAAGCTCAATAGTGTTAAACTTGAGGGGTGTATTGGGAAAAATCTAAGTCTCACATCGACTATAGATAAAATAATTAATTAGGAGATAAGATAATTAAAAAATAAATAAATTAAAAAATATATAAGTGGAGGACAACCCTCACCTTACAAGTCCTACATCGACTACAGGTAAGATAATTAAAAAGTATTATGAATTATTTCTTAAAATTTTAGTGAAAATAAAAAAAAAATATTAAATGTTATGTCTTTACTAGCATGTAGAATAATTGTCTGTAAATG